AACAGCGAAAAAAACCAAGGCATTGTAACAAATATTTTAGCAGAAGTAAGCACTGTCTTTCGTTTAATGATCGTTTGTCAGAGTGAATCGCTTCAAGTTTAAAATGTTGCCAAAGTTTTCGAATATTGGACCACTAAAAATCCAACCAAAAAGAAAAGGGAAAAAATGCGAATTTCCATTTGCTGTAACTTTCTATGGCCTACATGGAAAACCAAGATGCTGCACGATTCTGATTTAATAAATATTTGAAAGTAAGCGAGGGAGGAATTCGCTCGAAAAAACACGCCGCTTGGCCTCCGTTTTCTCTCTTTTTTTTTGTTACTAAAGATTGTTGTTTATGATTTGGCGATGAACTAAGCTTAGTAAGTAGTTACAGGCTTCACAATTAACAGTTTTTTTTTTCAGGTTAAATCGAAGTGTAAATAGGTAAGGAAATAAAAACGGAAGGAAATAAAAAAAAAAAAAGACTACCAATCGTTGAATATTTGCATGGAACATAACGTTTCCAAGTAATTTTAGAGCATTTTTTTAAGTAGTCTATGTTGGTCCGTCAGTTGCACCTATCTTCAAAGCTACCGGTCAACAATAACAGAAATACTCATGTTCAAAAGCCATAGTTTCTTAATCCGTCGAATTAATCGAACCGAAGTCGAAAATAGATCAAAGAGCGCGCATAATAAAAGTTCGGAAGTCAAGCAATATATCATGTAAAAGGCGAATTATTTTCGCGACTTCACTATGAAAGTTCCTTCCCTCTGCTAATTAAGATGTCGTATACGCCAAAGAAAATATTGTTTACTTTAGTTTTTGTTCAAACTCCATAAATAGAACAACAGAATTATCTAACAATAAATAACTATTTAATGAATTAAGGGAGCGTGCCCGACTTGTCTGTTACAGCTGTGTTTCAATGAAAATTCGCCTGTACTCATTTTCAGTCGTTGTAAAAAGATTTGCAATGAACCTCATTCAATGACCTGATTAACCCGTTGAGGAAACAGCTTTTAAAACAATATCGCAGTCAGTCACGTGCATGTCAATTGACGTCTTCACTGATCACGCCGGAGTAACGCGCGAGAAACATTGGCAAATAACAATCCTTTGTCATTAATCAGCCAATTACTGAGAAGGACACTCACAACTACAAACAGCTTGAGGAGAAACATCCAACATGGCACGAAACTAAAGCAGTAAAGTTAAGGGTGCAAATGGTACATACTCAAAATTATAGTGAGTACAACCCATACTGGAGGAGACAAACATTCTTTTTACTGGGGTATACATGTATTGCATATCAAGAGTCTAATAATTTTCAATATCACACTAGTGTCCCTACCCCTCCCCCCCTTCGCCGTCTGTCTCGTGGATCGCTTGTTTTGGAAAACCGATACCGACAGATATTATGTTTTAGGAAGAGTTCGATGTCATTTCATCAAAATTCCAGACCGCAACATAATGTATGAATTAAATAAAACATCTGAAAGATAGAAAGGAATATTTCAAGCATCTTAGAAAGATAGAAAATAGAATATATTGTCGTCTTTGTCAGAGTCACATTTGATTTTCAAAACGAGCACATACTAAGACTTACAGGGCCAATTATTCACACGAGGTCTAACCCAAACCGCGGTTTTACGCAAGCAGAGGGCCTCAAGGATTCTCTGGAAGAAGGTAGAATTAATAAAGGTCCTTCCACTATTAATTTTCGGCCCTCTTGACACTTTTAACTAAAACAAACGTTCTTCCAAATTCATGATGGCTTAGAGCGCGATTTTGTTAAACAACGGCTAAATTTTTTTTAAATACTGAACCAGCCCCACAGGGTTAAAAAAATCATAATATTTATACCATGCATCATCTATAATCGCATATGTAGCAAGCCGCGAAAACTGTTCCACCCACAAAGTTCTCGGCATTAAAAAAAAGAGTAATGAAAAAAGGGGAATTCAAAGCTTAATGTAAAGTCGAAATCTACTTCTGTGAGGAGATTGATTTTCTCTCGTTTTCATTGGCTGTTGCCAAATTGAAAGCAAGAAAATAGAAAAAAGGGGCATTAGTAGTTGATAAGTAAAAATGTTACGGTTATAAACAAAATACAGATGTTTTAGCAGTCGCATTAAAGAGTGCTGTAGCAGACGCCATTCTCGAAAGTAATTAGATGAGGCCAAAAAGACAGTGTAACGTTTCCGCTTGCGTCAGTTTCGTTGCCGATTTCCTTTAGACTGTCTGTTCTCTCAGACTCCGTATTCAAATCCGCGCAAAAGGTTATGGAAAAATAACCAGTTTAACAAAGAAATTTCTCAGCTGCAATAAAAAAGGGTTAAAATAGAAATGTAGTTTTAAAGAAGCAAGGAAACACCGTCACCATAGTAATATAACTAATCTATTCGACCGGTTCTCTTTTTTATTTATTCAAGGGACTTTGGTTTCCCGCGTAGAAACCAATTATCGTATGATTTTTTTCCTGCAATTTTCGTTGCATAAAAATTAGATCCGATTTTGGCCATTAAAAGAGTACATAAGTTGTTCGGTTATCGCATCACTACTAAAAATGTTTGGAGATACAACTGTGGTAAATTGTTGTTCAAAGTCAGGATTACTCTTCACACATTTGAACTCTAGGAACGATGATTGTACCATGGCCCTAAATTTCTGAATAAATTCGAGAAGGTGATGGGATTATCAAATTTACATGCCATTTAAGTTTTAGAACTAAAGTTTAAAGATCGCGAATATTTGAAAGCAAAAAAAAAGACTGAACGCACAATCTATGAACTTGATCTCCTACTAAAAGATCTGGAAAACTTTTTTTCAATAGAGAATGTAAAAGCTTTAAGATTTTAATCCCTTTAGAATGATTCCTCAAAAGCCTGGCATTGAAAAGCAACGCTATTATTCATTAGAAGATAAAAACACGCAGACATATAAATTCACAAGTCTAAAGTAAGGAAATAGCAGGGCAGCCGCTGTCTACGTCAAAGTGTATTTAAAAATGTTCGTCTTTGTAATTATTCACAAAGGCTGAAAACACCTGCTGGAGTAATGAATTTCTTACCATCTTTACTGAAAATGTAATCTGTTCTCGTTAAATTGCCACGAATTTGCGAAATAATATCATTGTGTCATCGAGAGCGCGCGCACATAAACTCAGGGTATTAAGAGAGAGACCGCATTCAGCGTTCCGTTAAATTTCATATTGGTTCCAGCCACGTCTGTAACTAACGAGAAACGATGGCGACTTATAAAGAATTTCAGAATGAGGTCAGTCAAGTTTTATTTAGTGATTTCAGTTGATGGGCACTACCATGAGAAACATCGCTTATAAATCAATGGCCACTGAAAAAGGTGACTCACTTTGATAACCACGATATGACACAAACAACGATCATGTGTCCCTTTTTCGGAATATCTCGCATTGTATTCCTTTGCAAGAGTAAAGAGAGAAAACTCCATTTGCTTTGAAATCTTTAACTTTGCGAGCGAGTCGCTGGTAAGAAACATTCCCATTTGAAAACAGAATTTTACTAATGACAGTGACCATTTTTTTGCGAAGAACGAAATTTAACCTTACGCAACCAACTGGCTGGATCTTGATTTACATTACAATTCAGCTTTTCCCATTCCGCCAAACAAAGGGAAAAGCGAGCTTGACGCTCTTTGTCAGCCGATCGTGATGGAACAAACGGAACCAGAGACGCCATAAGAGGACGTGCAATGGAAATTTAGTGTTTTAATTATACAAACACTGAAAAATTCGATATGATAAAGAAAACTCGAAGCTCAATTTCACGTCAGTATTTTTTTCGAAATTCATTCTGATTTTGAATGTGTGTACCGTTATTGTATGCGCTTTAAGTTATCAGTGTTTTGGGTGTAAATAAGCAAAATCAACGAATTTCGAGCTTCAATCTTCAGTAGTAATCGAAATTTCAAGTCTCACAGTTTTAAAAATAATAAAAATAATAAATGAGCTCATTGTTTTGCTTTGAAACTAATTACGTTTCGCACCGCAATGCTTCACAAAGAAAAAATGATTAGAGCAAAAGTGCTCGTAAATTGAAATGTTTAGTAATAAAAAAATCTGAATTTGTAAACATTCTACAGTTTTTTTTAATCGTGTGATTTTCCTATTGCAGTGTATGTCATGTAAAGAAAAAAATACTCTGCCGACGATTTAAGAAAAATTCGATTCGATGTTTCGTCAGAATGAGGAATTGTCTCGCTATTTCAAATAAAGAACCAGGTCAATTGATTTAACTTTGTAGGACAGACTATTTTTTATTTATGAAGAATACCGCCCAAACAATTATTGGAATACCACCTCGTTAAAACAAGGCTACGAGAGACGAACCACTAGCAGTCTTGGTTTTATATCAATGAATGAACAAACTTTGGAGTGCGTTATAATAATAACCGTGAAGAAACACCCCTCTACCCTATCAAGAAGAAAAAAACCACCCTGATACTGAGCACAGTGTCTTGTATTTTTTGAGACGAACAGAGTCTGTTCACTCAAAATCGTTTCATGTCGGGTTGCTAGGTAACTTGATTGATCCCTGGCAATAAAACAACGTCGCATCTTTTGTTAAAATTTTCCGTTCGGCCGAACTGTCTTGAGAATTCGTGCATAGCGTTTACCCTTCCATTCTTCATTAGACTTTTTCTGTCCTGATTTCACGATCATTAGCTATTGAAGGAAACAGACAGAGAGAGAGAAGAGCCACAACGCATGTTTCCTATTTCGTCACTCAAAACATGATGGTGACGCAGTGATTGCGTTTTGTTTCAAGAAGCAGATGTCATCAGTTTTGCGTAACATCCTCTCCGACAAAAAAATCACTTTCCTTCCTGCTTAATACCTTTTGATCTGGATTGCATCCTCTCCGACAAAAAAATCACTTTCCTTCCTGCTTAATACCTTTTAATCTGGATTGCATGTTACGCAGGTAGAGAATTCAGGAACACTTAACCCATCTACTTGTTTCCTATTAAATTTGCAGCCAATGGGAGGGTGTTCGTCCGCTGTGTCACCTGAGGACCCAAACGCTCAGCAAAACGCAAAGACAAACTGGTGTGTGTGCTGTGGATCAAGGTGGGTAAGAATATGAACACAAACAAAATGTAAATAGGTTCAAGACTTCACGTTCCTTTTCCCGTCCAAAAAAAAGAAAAAAGGACTGTGTCAAGCCATATTGACCTCCAGCGTGGTCACTAACAGAATAATGGCGAAAAGACTATGGATAGAATGGTAGATATTTTCCCAGATCCTTTGAAACATTTTGCTTCCACAAAACCCGAATAAAGGAGGCCTATACCCAGCCATATTGACCTCAAGCTTGGTCAATGATGGAATTATAATTATTACCCAATAAATTCATAAACCTCAAATACAATTTTTTTCGTTCGGTCTGGCCTAAGATTGGCTCTGTTGTTGCCAAAACGTATGGGAAAATTTTTCCTTCAGCAGGGAAGAGTTTCCTATTTTCAAATTAAAACTATCATCCGATACTTGTTACGTAATGTAAAAAAAAAAGAAATTACAAGATTTTCTGATATACGTCCATTGTCTAACAGACAAGACTCCACAGCTGCTCTGCTGTCCAAAAAAGAACAAGATTTGGACTGTGCACGGTAAGATAACGAAACATCTACATTTTTATTGATCATTCGCTTTTTCGAAAAATTCCAGAAAATTAAAGATGTTCTGACAACCTTCGAAACCCTCCGAAGAAGTAAAGATGATGTCGAGGACCGTTACTGGACAAAGTGTCTAGGGGAAAATTCATAAACCTGTGACTCTAATGTATTTGTTCTGCGGTTTCTCGATTCGTAGGCCAACGATCGAAGAGGCGAAGAAGTGGCCAACGTCGTTCGAAACTGTGCTAAAACACAAATTTGGTCTTCAACTGTTTCAAGATTTCCTTCGATCCCAATATGGTGAGGAAAATCTCAGTTTCTGGTTGGCTGTGGAGGATTACAAGAAATCGGACGAAAGCACTCGGGCAGAAAAAGCAAGACTGATTTATGAGGACTATGTATCCACTCTTTCGCCCACAGAGGTAATTCACACTCAAAATGACTAAAGAAAAATTAAAGCCGTTGTTCCATGTCGTCTCGTTAAAAAAAAAAAAAAAAAAAAAAAAAATTCCTTTAACTCGTTGACCCCCTGAGAGTGACATCTAGTTTCTCCTTACAATATCACACCTGAATCAAACATTTGGGTCATGAGAATAAAGTAAATGATGACAAACTAAAGAAGCTCCTGGTTTTTAAACAAATTCCCCTCGTCAGCACCGCGGGAAATGTATAAAGAACAGTATGGAGAATATGCATACTGATATTATGCTGTAAGAGGTTCACGCATGCCAGTTTCTTTGTGCCTTTATTTCAGTTCTCGTATCTCTTTTCCGTTTACAGATTAGTCTAGATGCTAAAGTACGAGCAGAAATCGATAAAAGCATGAGCAATCCGGATAAAGACACCTTTAAATGCGCACAAGATCATATATTTACGCTAATGTACCATGACTGTTTTCCAAGATTTATCAAATCGAAACATTACAAACAACTTTTGAAGAAACATTGACCCAGGCTGGTGCGCAGCGTTGACTTTTGAACAAAGACGGCGACGAATTAACTCTTCAGTTCAAGCATGGGAAAGCGCAGCCATTGAAATGTTTTACACAAGATGCGGATTACTATAGAACAGTGCGAAGTTAATTTACAGTACAAGTGGTCATGAATTTCTCCGTCGTACACACTAGCAGAATTTCACCTAATTTCGATGCATACAAACATCTACTGAGTATCAATTTACGACTCAAATTATGATTCCGTACTCATCAACTCATGAAAAATTCATTGACAAAATCTTACACAGGAACAGGATGAAGAATAAACCAACTAGAATACTCGATTCCCAAACCGCCAAACTAAGTAAGTGTTGCTTTCCCCTTCCAATTCCAACTGTGACTTAGATCATTTATGCCTAAATATCCGTTTTCGATTCAAATTATTGATTTGATTACAGAGTTTTGTCTGTTCTTCCTTCCTGCATGTTCTTTAGTTTTTTGAGTCGTACTGTAAGTAAAGTTCTCATCCAGCCTGAAGGTCAGAAGAATTATTACTTAATAGCATAACAAAGACATTTTGATTTTTACCCCAACTTGACCAAAAAAAGCAAAACCCTTACAAAGGCATTCTCGTTTAGGAACACTGGGTTTATATTAGGTTCGTCTGTAAATACGATGTAATATAATAACACATCAAGTGCCAGCGGATAAGAGGCTGCTGACTGACACCCGTTAAATTTGATTACCGTAGTTGTGAGAAATTCTTGGTACATCTAATGATATCCATAAACAGAGTAAATAAGATAAGTTTCTATAAGGAAAAACGCCTATGGGCACTTTGTAAAACAGTTTAAACAGGCCAGCTGCCTGGCCTTTTTTAGAGCAAAAAACATTGCCAAAAAACATTCTTACTTGTAAAACTTAAGCCTCAAAGTTTTGCACTGTTTTGGATCGATTTTGTCTTGATAAGTTTCTAGCGTTTTCTAAATAACCTACAAACTTGCTCGCGTGTCACTTTCTTCAAGACTATGGAGATTTTGAACAGTTATCACTGTTAGTGAATCAAGTAGAGCAATGAGTTTCCTTTTAAGTTAGACAGACAATTCAACAGTTTAGAAATGTTTCCTCAGAGACCTAAGATATTTTGTAAATAGACGTGTGGTACGAACAACTTGTTTCCTTGAGACATGTCCTCGCAACACATCTGTACAGCTGCTTGAGTTTGCGGTCAAATGTTTATTTATAAGATAACACTGTCGTAATAAAGAGGGTCGAATAAATGATCAAATGAAGGCAAGAAAATGCAAACAAATGATTAGATGTAATAAAATGTAAATTAAAATAAATTGTAAATAGATTACAGGTTGAACTGGTGGAAAATGACCTCTGTTTACTGAGCCACAACTTGCAAGAAATTTATACAAACTTGTGAAATAAAAGTGGGTACTGAGTTTTGACCACCGTGTTTTGACCATCGGTAGCTTGTCATCACAAACTTGCATTCACATAATTTCCTCTCAGAAAATGGCAAATAGGGCAAAATGACAGATGGTTTGATTTACTGTAGAAGTATGCCCGTTAAAAGAGATTTCAAATAGGAAGTTCCAATTCATTTTATTCTGTTATTTGTTATGACTTTAATCAAACCTTTGGCACAGATTAATACAAATAGTTTACACAGCTCCCATCACTTTGGGAATCCAAGTTATCATGCAATCACAGTAACTACAACAGCAATTTTCAATTGAGTGTCAAAAGCAATCCAGGATTACTTTGGTTTTGCTTTACTTCGTTATGTGATTGGTCCAGAAAACTGGTGCCACTTTCTTAGCCAATCAGATTTTAAACCAAAACCAATCACGACTTGGTCGCCCGCGTTTTCCCGCGCTTTAGGCTGCTTGATCGTTTTTACTTTAAGTTCTCATTGGCTCTGAAGGGTATTTTCATTTCTCCTGATTGGCTGTTGGTTTTGGATTTACGACACTCAATTGAAAAGCGCATTAAGAATAATTCTAACAGATACTATCTAGATTTCTAGCTAGTTGTAAATAAATATGGTTCGAATGCAGGCAGTCTTTGGTAAATTCAACCTCTAAATACGAACCAAATAATGCGCTGACGAACAAAAATTATTACTGAGGACTGCAGTCGGGAAAAAGATGAAATCTGCAAAACTTTGCTTTGTCAACAAAACTGTAAAAAAAGAAGTTAAAAGTGTTTTAATCGATTAATTTTAGAATACCGATAATTCTACATTATAGGTGCTTAATACATATAATTAATCATGTTATTTCACATTTACCACACGTGGTGATGATTACACAATTATCGCGGAAATTTAGATGATTAAGTTTAATAGCGAGTGTTCGCTAAATTGCCAAACTAACAATTTGACCTACATTATCCACAATATGTAGAGAACATTAAAGCTAAAAATAACTTTTTTTTTTTAAAACAGAATTAAGTTACCATTAAAATGAATAAGAGAAGTAAGTTTCTGTGGTACCACATCAGCGGTTTGGTTTTATCAACTGAGTTGAAGATGTAAACTGGCTTCCGTAAAGAGTTACTAAAGCTGACATTTCGAGCAAACAGGCCTAACATGGCCCAGGACAATTAGAACGTAACAGTACATGGTAAAAAAAAATCATATGGGGGGGGGGGAGGGGGAGGGGGAGGGGAAAGGGGGGACAACACAATGGTACGATTAACACAGACTTCATTCAACCCCAGTTCAAGGGCACATTAACAATATTTGACTAGATAAACTGTAATGTATTAAGAATCCTGGGTGGGTTATTCTTTTTAAGGACACAATACAGATGAACTAATGGTGATTCTGAAACCACAATATTAAATTACATTGTTGAAGCTGAGATACAATATACTGCCGTATTGGACGGAGTTGTGAACTCTATCAAGCGTGAGTATGCCTACCAAAAAAATTTGTTTTCAGCCGATCGAAATTTCAATTCTCTGATATTGCGGAAAGTATTCCTATTGAGAGCGTCTCGCGAAGGAAAGTTTTAATTAGCTGCCAGTTTGCGGCATTAGAAAAAGATAGGAAGATCACTACACGAGGACGGACTGGATAACGCAAGGTCCGAAGACAGGACAAGTGATGGAATACCAAACTCAGGGGTTTCACCAACTTTTTCCCCAGGCGGTTGCCGACGGTGTAACAGGTAGCCGTGCCTTGAAAGGGGCAGGGTTTTCAAATTTAGCCGGCGCCCGGCGCAAGTCACCGGCTACTTCAAGCATTTGCGCCAGGTACTTTTCGTGTTCCAGCACCCCACCCCGCAAGGCCGCCGTTATCGCGATGAGATAGTGCTCCGGCTACTTTACAATTTCCTCCTGGGGGGCCGTGAGGAGAAAATCAAACAAGAGAGCCTGCTCGTAGGCTCAACAGTTAGCGGTAAGAGGTTTTATAGGCGGAGGTACACCGCTAGTAACCTGCGCTGAATGAAATCCTTGCAAACTTTTAAGACCGGAAAGACGAGGAAGACGAGACCGCACTACGTTAGCGTCTCTCTCTCGCGCACTCTCTCGCGCACTCTCTCGCGCACTCTCTCACGCACTCTCTCGCGCACTCTCTCGCGCACTCTCTCGCGCACTCTCTCGCGCACGAAACTAGAGGAGGATTGCTAGATGGTGAAGCAGAACAAAGGGTTACACCTAGTTTTTCAAAGGACTCTTTTAACCCTTTAACACCCAAGATCTGATTGTTAATTCTCCCCTCTAGCTGCCAAACATTTCCTTGTAAATTAGTTGCAAGAATTTGGTGTTAGATAAAGAAAACAAATTCTACCTGATACATTCGAATACTCTCATTACCAGCTTGCTAAATAGTGAACAGATATTGTAGGGAGAAGTTACATGTGAATCACTTCTGGGCGTTAAAGGGTTGAGGGCTTACATTCGAATGGACGTTATGTATTCGGCGATGTTTATCAGTTACAGAGAGGAATTAAAATTAAAATCAGAGTCGGTCACCGCCTGGATTCATCATTGCGTTAAGGGGGTACGCCACCTATGGTGATAGAATTCTATCTACACACAGGCTAAACACAGTGGAGGTCCCTGAATACCTAACTTATACCCCCTCCATTTACGCGAGGGACCTGCTTAAACCAGGATCATGTGACAAACATCCTGTACTCTGCTAGAATTGTTCGTTCTTTATTAAAAACAAGGCCCTTGACCTGGCCTCTTAGCGTTTGTTTGAATTTCTCTTCTGCTTTGCAGCTGTTGTCAAAGCAAACCTCAAGAAAAGTGGTTATACTTTCATACACATCAATCATTGAAACATGGTGCAATGTACTTACTTTCCAGCGGTTTCCACACTCTAAACACAGAACGAAAGTTGTCATGGGTTCATCAGCGCTTCGTGTTTGTAGTTGTGTGTAGGTAGTCCTTCGCTTGCCACATTTTCCACATTTAAACAATGCAGTTTCGGTGCCTTGGTTTTTAGCAACTTGTGCTTCACGAATACCCTCTTTGGCACATTCCTGCCGAAACTGTTTCATCTCGTCACTTGCCATTTCCTAACAGGGAAATTTCAACACAGCCGGTTAAAACCTTTGATCTCCAAAGTGATTGTGTATATCATGTACAGTCCAATTTCTCATAAAAATTATCCTTAACCCTTTAACTCCAAGAAGCGATCACCATGCAAATTCTCCTTATAATATCCATACATTCTCCAGCAAACAGGTAATGAGAATACTCGAACTTATCAGGTCAACGTTATTTCTCTTGATCAAACACCAAATCCTCATAACGAATTGCAAGGAACTGTGCAACAGCTAAAGGAGACAATTAACAATCACATCTTGGGTGGGAGTTGAAGGGTTAATTGATAAAAAAAATGAATGGCTGTGGTATAGCGCACTGTATGTACAGTGCAGTATGTAACAAACGTAGAGCAATGTAACAGAACAGTTGTAGTACTACTGATAAGCTTTTCATTTGGGTAACAGCACACATCATTTACTACCGGTAGTTAACTGAGCCACAATTACACCAGGGGTTCTGATAACTTTTTCAATGAGCAGCTTCCCATGGTGTCATAGGAGGCTGTGCTCAAAAAATGGGCTATAAGGCAAAACCCAAACACAAGAGCCTGCTTGCTGGCTAAACAAATGGCAGTAGCAGGTCTTTAAGGGGGCAGTGGACTGTCAGTAGCTGGCCTTTATTGAAACCTTAATTACACCTGCAAATTGTAATTGACAGGTACACTTCCCTGTTGAGTTATACCCACTGGCAAATGTTATTTGCAGCCAGTGTTGTTATTTTTTGGCAGGTCAATTTGTTTGAAGGCTACCATGCCACTTGAGACAGGCAGTCTTGTCACCAAAACACTTGCCTCGACCATTCAATAACCTCTACCATAGAAAACTTGCTAAGAAAAGCAAGCTGGTTTAAAGATAGCAACAGACAAGTTTGATCATCAATTCTCCTCAGTGGAGCATTTGGCTCTGGCTTTCAAGAAAAAAAATGAGATGCTGTAAATTGAATTTACCAACAGAAAAACCCAGTTTACTTATAACAAAAGGAAACTAAAGCCTAGTGGTTTCCTCTACTTTGAAAAATTCTGCCACAATGAACTGAACAATATTTACCTCTGTAGGCATTGTTGCAAATCTTCCTGGTGAAATCTCACCAGTGAGTACTTTCACTTTAAGAAGGGGATTTTTTGCATCACGAAGATTACTGACACGACTTCTGACACGCTGTTTATATTTCATATTTGTGTCCCTAAACTCTTGAAATATACCTTGAAAAAAGGTTAAGGAACAAAGTCATGGTGCAGATCCCTCAAAAGCTAGTGCAAAAATTATTAAATCTGTCAGTTAATAATTCAAATTCTACAGAAAAATTGTAACAATGAATAATAATCAATTATGGCATTAGCTCTGTTAAACATAAACCATGAGCAGTTCCTCCTTCTTGGTGAAATCTGTCACATGAATGTAAAAAGTTAGCCAAGACATGGTGATTTATTTTAACTTAGTATCTGTCTTACTTTCCTAAAACGTAAACTCTGAAATAATGATAGAGCTCTATTTTGACTCAAGCATTGGACTTCACCAAAAAGGTGGGACTGCTCAAACTTTCCATATATCTTGGACACAAGTCATAATTAACCCTTTAACTCCCAAGATCTCTTTAGTAATTCTCCCTACAGTCTGCCATAAAACACTAATGATTTTGATTTGGAGAATTTGGTATTGGATCAACTTGTAGTCCCTTATTTTAGTTCTTTTTCTTTATTCTCCTCACTTGTGTGCTTGATTCTGTGTTGATATTGTAAGGACAAATTCTGTCTTGGTCACTCAGGGGAGTTAAAGGGTTAATAAAATAAATAGTCCTTTTTCTCACAAGGATGTTGAGCTCGAGTATTCATCTGAGTTACCATGATGCAAATGCCATTTTATTAGATTTGTGCAAGGCCTTAAATGATCATTTTTCCACAAATATCCAAATAATTGTGGAACTTTCACCAATATTGTAAGTTTTGATTAAAAATTTTTAATTTTTCTTCACCTTTCCTGGAGAAATAAGAAATACATGAATACTTTATGAAGGATACATTCCTCACAAGCTGCAGCAAAGTCTTCAGGTGTAGTGGCTGTAAAAGAAACACAAATTCAAATATCAGTGATGATACTTTTCTTATGTTGTGAGACAATTTAGGGATGAGATGTTGTATTTTTTGAAAATAAGTACACTAAGCAAATATACAATCACAACAATGACTATTTAAGTGGTCAGCAATCTCTGTAGCAGGCCCTTAGGTGAGCTAACTCAAGTAGGACAGACAAGAACTTGCCAACAAAATACACTTTACAAATTGATAGCAAAATATGTTTTAGTCAATGTGGGATCAAGCCGTCCTGAGAGCAGAGGACAGCTAATTCCCCAAGATGAGATACTGTACCCTATTATGGGTTCCCTTCCCCACCCCCCCCCCTCCCCCATATCTCATTTCCCAAAATTTCATGACATTTCCTTGACAGTTCACTCCTCTCCATTTATACTCCTGAGTCAGAGGCATCTCGAGATTGTTGAAATTATCCTTCCCCAGTGGGACAACAAAAAAGCAAACTTTTACAAAATTGAATCCAGGAATGAGCAACTCTGCATCAAAGACAACTTTGAATTCACCTCAAAAATGGTGGAGCTGAAGGATCTGGTAAGTGGATGCAAAATGGATCAATTGCAATGTAACATAAAAGAAAAAGGTATAAACTATAAGGAATTCAGAAATAAATCAGTTTTTTACTTACTTGGTTCAATACCTTCTTCCACTTTGAGGGAGTTTGCAATCATTTCTCTACACCTTCCCCGTACAGAGTCACTTGTGACTTTTGGGGGCGGGAATGTGGCAACTTTGTTTTCTTGAGGGGTGGTTGGTGTGGTGGAAGACTTTGCCTTTTCTGCAGGTGAATTGCTTCGACTTGATTTTTCACTGTTTGGAGTTTTTCTATCTGTGTTGGATTCTTCATTCTTTCCTCCTGATTTCTCTGTTTAGTGAAATAAAGAGTTGAGCTATTTCTGACTACTTCATACTTTCTCTTTACAGGGTTCATCTATTTAAAACAGATAGGTCCTCCAATAACTCTTACTACCATTTATTTGTAGATGTTGTCAACATCATTTTCCTATATGCAATCACATGTACCACTTGGAAAATCCAGATCATTCAACCCTTTACACCCTAATATCAATATGCATATTCTCCACACTGTTCTTGATACATTTCCTAAGGTGCTGATGAGGAGAATTTGTTTCAAAATCTAGAACTTCTCTAGTTGGTGACCATTTCCTTTATTCTCGTGACCTTAATGTGTGATTCAGGGCTGATATTGTAGGAAGAAATTAGATGCTAATCACTCAGGGGTTTAAGGGTTAAAAAACACATATTGAAAAAGGACATAGACAAATAAATACAACAACACTGAAATACCTGAGTCTGTGAGTAATGTGACACATGATACACAGATACACTTGTGTAGTGCTCAAGAAACTGAGCCCAGATAAATTTACAGATTGAAATCCTTTCAGTCAATAATCACTTATTTGATGTAAGTTTTAAGCAAACAGTATAGCTGCTCTTAGCCCTGTTCCCATGAATGACCAAGAGAGAATTTCTCCTTACAATATCAATACAAAATGAAGCAGGCAAGTGATGAGAATATAGAAAATATCCAATGGAGATTATTAGTTGATCCAATACCAAATTCTCTACATCAACACCATAAGTACTATATGGTAGCCAGTGAGGAGAATTTCTATTGAGATCTTGGGAGTGAGAGGGTTAAAACTGGTTTTGCTTTTTTTTTTTATAAATAAATTCTTTCCTAACCTGGTAAAAGCTTTTTCCAGGATTTAATGAGTGACTTTGCCTGTGTCTGAAGGTCTGCATTTTCACTCTTTTTTCTCAGAGTATTGACAGACATGCCTATTCTAGTTTTTTGAAGCACTTCAAGAGTGATGGGGAGGTCTTTCAGCCTTTTCAAGAGATCCACTGCACTGTCAGAATCCATCTGGAATAATCAAGTGAAAAAAAATATATTGATAAATCCTTCTGGGAATAGAACTCTTGAATAAAGTGCTCCTTAAACTTGAGATGCAAAAATTCCTAAAAATAAAAATTCCTGAAATAACCACAGTAGAATGCATTTCTAATTCATTTGAAAGTTGACAAAAGAACTTGTGTGGTTGCTGCTAGGGGTGTTGGCAAAGGAACTGTTGTTCTGAATCTGGTGGCAAAAACAGGACGGTAAATCACCATAGCAAGTTGTGAAAAACTGATGTTTAGAGCAACTTCCTCGTAAATTAGGAGAGTAATGTCAAAGCATGGTAAACACCATTGCTCATTCCTTTTCACGCCACTTTTTCAACTATATTTGTAACACCTACTCTAAAAAAATAAAAAACAGCGTTTGAAATTTTTCAATTGGATTTGACAAAAAAAAAATGACAAGTGAACCAATATAAGAAATTAACATATCACCAACAAAGCAGTAATTCTTTATTTTCTTATAAAAAGAATATGGCTGCTTTTTTCTTTTAAATTCAGGCAACAACTTTCTTTCTTTAAAAATTAATTGAAAGTGCACCAGAAGCAATAATAAAAATTATTGTTGGAAAAATTGCTAGGAAAGGTGTTAAAGTATTATTATCATATTGATATTAAAAGGAAGAGCTGAATACAGTACTGCTCATGCAAGGTGTTTTTGGGTATGGAGACACCAGTTGTCATTTCAAACATTAAAATTCCAACATGATAAAGTACCACTCGTAAAAGTCCGACAAATTTTCATTCCCGATTCTATTTCAGTGAAATGAAGTTTCAGTGTGTGTTCTTTCATTTTCTAAAAAGCGCGCAAAATAAACTCAATATTTAGCTAAGCGCAAGAGTATTTTAAACATTAAGTACCAATTCTCCATAGCTAACTCTTCAAAGAAAAATAATTGTCAAATGACGGAATTTCAAGCCACGAGCTGAATATGCTGATTTGTGTGCTTGCACTTGTAAGATTTTCCAGCCGGAAATTCGATCCTTAACGCGTGTTCGTACAACTTTGAACATGAACAATTCAGCATGCGCTTCCGGTATGATGACCAAATCAACAAATCAAAAATAAAACCATTCGTTTTATACAGCTCAGCTACCTGGTACGTATTTTTCAAATCTCTGCCTTACGAGCAGAGCTGATGATTGGGTTTTTAGTGGTGTTTACTAACGCTTTATTGCAAAAATATACTTAGGCCGGCCGGTGGCTGCGAAAATGATCACAAATGTTCTTCTTACCGCTCCTTCCTGTCCCACTATCTTCTCCAGCTGCTTTCCAATTTTGAAAACTTCTTCCTCGCAATTCATTGTGTTAGAATTTCTCAATGAAGTTACGAAGGGGAAAACGAGGGATCTCAATTCAACATTGCCCAATTACATTCGCGCCACATCATGGCCGATAAAATTACCGATGATACGGTAAGTTCCGACTAAATGTGTCCTCGATGTGTCAACTAGCGTGGACAGCGGTCACATTGATACTCTGTGTCCTGAGCATTGTCAAGTCCTTTATCTAGTTCTTTGATGAGCAACGTTTACCTGGGAAGGGGTAAGGGAAAGGTGGGAGGGGTATGACGAGAGAAACGAAGTCATGGAAAGAGATAACAATTCAGCATGTGACCTCTGGTGAACGTCATAGCTTTCCCTCGTCTTCCGCATCGGGACCTCAACACAAAGAAAACCCTTTTCCACCTCGTTTATTTGTATCTTTGGCTTATGAGATGTTCTCCTTTCGACCATAAAAATTTATTTCGATACAGGAAATAGCTTCCCCCTGGCATGGAAACAGGCTAGGAATGAATGGTAAAACCAGGTGGCAGGTGAATTCAGTATAGTTACGCATTGCATAGACGGTAAACATTGTCGATGTCAGTAATATTTTGTTGAACAACGAAGGCATTCTTGTATGCCCGCAGATTATTGATTTAATATCATTTGGGAGATAAATAATCTATATTTTAAGAGAGAGAGGGGGGGGGGGTGGGGGAAAGCTGCCGAAGGTGTCTATCCCACGCCTGTCACGTTTTGTGACCTTTTGGTGTGTTCTAGTTAGGGCTTTAGTTAGGGCACGAGGTTGTCAAGGAAACATGGTTAATTAGTAATTTCTGCTTCACTCGCATTGGTTGAATATATTATCACTTGGAGAAAGGCTTGTTTGCTCGTTCGAAGGCGAGAGAGACAAAATCAAAAACAAGAAAAGATTTGCCCTGGTGCAATGTGTTTATAACTCTGGCTAACCGCACCTTATAAACGAAAATGGACGAGGAGAAAACGCCTAGAGAGCCGACGGACGAGAGTGAAGAAGCACTCGAACTTGATGAGGTTAAAACTGACGGTAATGTTGACAATCGTAATCTGCCAGGATTACAAGACCTGAAATCGAACGGCCCTGAAAATTCGGCAGAAAACGGCGAAGAAGAAGAGAGAGGCGAAAAGAATAATCGCAACATAGTCAACAAAAATGGTGCCAATGGGATAGATAGTGGACAAACAGACCTTGATGCAACGCACGAGCAACTCGAAGTCCCTAAAGGGCTGCCTAACGACAAAGAAAATAGCAGGGATAGCATCTCTGAAAACGCCAGTTCGACTGAGGGATCTAACGAAGCAACATCTCCAACTAAATCAGTCAGTCCACGAAGAGCAAAAAGAAGAGCGATATTTGTATCTTACGCGCCGGAGGCGAGTTTCTTAGAAAAACGCTTTATTTCCTACACCACTAAAGAACTGAAAAATATCGGATTTTGCGATGATATTTGGTTCGATAAAGACGACAGCCAGCCCATAGAGAGTCCATCTTGCTATCAGCAGAGATTAGAGATTGTCGAAAAGTGCCGTGCAGCTGTTATTTTCTTATCTGAGTCCTACTTGAATTCGTTGATTTGTTGTCACGAAGGACGGATATTACTCAATCGGGACGAGGAGAAAGAGGGAAACGAAGAGGTTGAAAAGCCTGTAAAATTATTCTGCATTAATCTGTCTGACAAGCTTCCACAAGAGTACAAACAACTGGCGGAGCGAGCGCTTAATTTAAGTAAATACTCTGCTTCAAGTGTGGCTGAACTTTCGTCAGTAGTGGTAGGCAAATTCAGCGAAGCCCTGGAGAAGTATGCTCCCTTATTCGGCCTGCGCATTCCAACTCCTCCAAGGGAACCAGACGTTTTGAAATTAGACCGAAAGAAACCGGTATCTTCGTGGAACATCCACGATGTACAGGCCTGGCTTGCTTCGTTTAAAATGCAAGCACATTGTGCTCTAAGCTTCGAAGAGAACGAAATCGACGGCTTCTTGTTGGTTTCCATGAAAGAAACTGACATGGAAACCCATTTAAATATTGACAGTCGAGTCGCTCGAAAGAAACTTTTGCAAGAAGCCAGGAAAATTCAAGAGGAGCAAGATCAACTCAAAGGAAATTGGTATTTGAAGTGCAAAAAGAGCAAAGTCAAAGAAGATTCTGTATATGTTATTTGCGATCCCAGTGATGCTCGGTTTTATCATAATCTTCGAGCGGACTTGGTGCAGAAAAACCTCAAGGTAAATTAGAAATGTACAATTAGCGGATTTAAGAGTCACGCTATTGTGTTGCACGTTAAGTTAATTAACATGTCAAAGGATTTGTGATTGTTGAACTGAGGGTTCAAATATCGTTTTTCCATCCATCAGCGAGAGACTGATTTATTGTTTTGTTCTGTTAGACCAAAGCCAATTATTTTAACTTTGCATGCCTCTTTGCACGAACGCAGAACAACGGAAGCGAAATTTAACGTTCACTTGCTAACTCACAGGGATGAGACAGTGGGAGAGAAGTTGTTTTACCTAAACGTTTTCTCATCTAGTGTCAACTGGCTTATGTAATTAATGACACAAGTCAAATCTTGCATTCAGACATTTATCGATTCGCATGAGAAGGAGCCTCGTACTTCTCGCGAACGCGTGACCGCGTGACGGTCACACTTGCGCTGTATTAGAGTAGTATTGGGGGCGGGAGGGGTGGAATATAAGAATGAACTTTACTTTTTCGGAATAGCTTACTTACAATCGTCGCTGCGTTTATTAACTTTTTGCGTCCACGGTGCAGTGCTTATTCAGCGTCGGCGCTTATTTGACAATGGGGAGTCGAATTTACTGATTCGCGCCTGGTATTTTAGCCATGTTATCGTATTAGACAATGGGCCCAGCATATGGGTAGACAGTGGTTCAAATTATTCATATATCAATAGCTTGAGGATCGCTATTACCTAGAAAGCAGACTATGATGACATTAAATCAAAGTCAGTGCAATGAATGATGGACAAAATGCGTCGAATACTTCTCGAATTTCTTTATAATTTTTTTCAGGTGTTTAAACACGAGCGACTCGGACAATCCAGGGAAGAATTCCTACAGGTCAACTCTCCACACTTGGCCTCCTCTTCTCACGTGATCGTCCTCCTCTCCACGGCAGCTGCTACGTCACTGTTTGTCTACAATGAGGTCCTCTTTGCTGATTGGTTAGGAAAACCTCTTCTAGTTGCTATGACAGCCAACTCGTGGGATAAACTTCGACCCAACCTACAAGCCATCCTGGGAAGCTGCCCAGCAGTGAATTTTCAGGATAATCTATACGAAGATAGTGTTGCCATACTGTTGTACCGCTTAAAACCTTTTCGCAACATGCCTGCCGTGATCTTGGAGCAGGAATTCTTGGATAGAATGTTTGAGGGTCTTAAACCCCTGAGAGTGATGGCAGCAGTCCCTGGTGGGTGATAAAAACTTCCTACACCTTCTCGTTCATCCTAAAGTCATAAAAATCCCTCGTTAGTTATAGAAGGAAAATTGACTCGAAGAGGGTAACACAATGTAGTTTTTTTTTAAATCGAAAACGTTGCACAGTTATGTAGTTATTAAGACAGGAGAAATCAAAATGGAAAGTGCTTTCAACTTTTTTTTTTCATTATTTGCCAGTTGAAAAGGTAAATGTGTTCGGATAATTTTTCTGAGTTTGTTATTCGTTGTTTAATGAAAAATAAATTCACCAGCCCCATGGTGCTCCCTTTGCTCAATCTTGTTCATGGAAACAGTAACGGGAGAATCTATAACCTTCAAAATATATTGTCGTGGCTACCTTAGCCACTGACCATCAACTGTTTTCCCTCGTAGAGATGAGCAGTGTCGAGATGGAAGACACATCTCCACGTCCAAACCTTTTCCTCAGTTACCACTGGGATGTACAAAATAAAGTACAGGTACTTGTCCAGTTCTTAGAGAGTCACGGATTCCAGTGCTGGACGGACGTGAGTAACGCAAACAAGCGTCACGCCGCGAGCAAATCACCAACCCACGAGAACTCACAGAGTCAGATTCAGCGAAACATCAAGGCTGCTGTAGCTGTCGTGTGTTGCGTGACACCCAAGTATGTTTGCTCCGAAAACTGCATAAAGGATCTCAGCCTGGCTGAATCAATGAACAAACCGGTCGTTCCCGTGATGCTTCAGTGGTTGGCATGGCCACCCGAGGGTGGTCGTGTGCGTAGGATTTTGGCACCACTTCAATGTATTGATATGAGTAATGACAGTTTGTTTAAGAGGAACCTGAGTACTGTTGAAAGCCATTTGAGCAAATTCGCGGGGAGCCATAATCCACGTGATACGCATGTGATAGAGCACGTGCAAATCGCCAGGAACCAGAGATTAAATCAAAAATAGGCTGATTTAGCAACAGAACGGGAACGTCAGTCGACGACGGCGTGCGCAAATCAAACAACTGGCTTGACCAATGGCAGAGCGGCAAATTTAGCACCGGAAGTCGTGTTCAGTCCTTTCCGCGCGCTTTCCCGTCGTCAACTGACGTTCCCGTCCTGTTGCTAAATCAGCCTAATATCAACAAAAAGCGTGATTTGACACACGTAAAGTTTGAGCACAGGGCTGGGAAAAGTTGCGCATTAACGTCACCGCAAAGTGCACACGCCGCCTTTAAAGAGAAAAAACAGCGCCAAGTTTCAACGAAGTCAATTGGTGAAAAACATCAACACACCCAGTTTTTGAAGCACAGGTCAATAAAATCATTCACTTACACCTTGCTCCAGTGCCTCTAAACACTGACAGAACTGAAGGCAAAACAAGTTATGGATTGGAAACAAAAGCCTAGCCGTGTATTGTCGTTGACCCTGCTGCCATCTCGCGTAAAAAAAGCCATTTTGAGATAATGTTGGTAGAAAGCTACTAGTCTGAAATCGCTACAACGATTGTTGAAAGTTCCATCGCAATCCAAGGGATTTTTCTGACCAAATCGAAACCGCTAGAAAGGAAAGGGTAGAGAAAAACAGAAAGACTTTGAACGAATTAATGTTATGTAAATATCAGGTGTTGGAAAAAAGGTTTTTTGTGGACGAAACTGTGAAGTCATTGGAGAATTCAGAAATAAATTTCCTCTCTGAGCCCACGATGAATCCAATACGTGTTTCTTGTTGAGGGTATCCCAAAGTTCTTCTTGTTGATTATTCTCTTTTTTGTAAACAATTTCCTCTTTGCTTAACATTTATGTTTATAGAACGTATCTTAAGTCAACGAAATTAGTTCAAAATGCCCCTCTATTTAGTTGATCTTGAAGTGTAATTGTCGGTCGATAACGGTGTTTGGTTCTGAAAAGGATTGTTGTTAGTAAATACTGTCCTTAAGCAATTACGGAAAAACCCTCGAAAAACAAATCTACGTTCAATCGGCCAAAACAACCACAACACGGTAACACGACTAATACTAAAACTTCGTAAAAAGTCCTCAAAAATACGGCTCTCCGAGACGTAAAGCGCACTCGCGATAATTGTACGCGTCACTCAGTTTACGAGCTTACAAATTAAAAATTTCTCTGAGCCCGCGCACACGCACGCTGATCGCGCGCAACGCTAATTCAGTTACTGTCTTCTTGACAAAACTGACTTAGAATTAAATGAAATAATATTTCAATGAGCTTTTTACGATTTAAGAAGGCTTGTCATTGTGATCCACAGCAGCCCTTCTCAGGACTACCTCATCGACGATCAGACCACACGATGGACTGTTACTCGCATTCATTAATTGCGCACGCGCGTAATAACAGCGAATGAATTACAAATTAGAACCTACGACACAAATAAAAGACGAACATCTTCGAAGCTTTACTCGGCAAATAAGCAATCATGGGTTGAGAGGACTTTTCTGTTGGAATGATCGCTGCTTTTGAACGGCTGATCGTGGCACTTCATGCGGCAAAACAGAGCGTGACTTAGCATAATATGTTTACTGCAGCCAGGAGATTTTGTCGGTACCAGGTTGATGCTGGCTGGGCTTGGATCGTGTGTATCGCTTCGTTTTTTGTCCAAGGCGTCATATTCGGGACTATACAGTCTTTTGGAACACTTTTCATTGCACTTTTAACTGATTTTAAATCTGGCGAGTCAGCGACAGGTAGGCAGTGTTGCGAAGAGCAATTCTGATTTAAGTACTTGCTTTCCTTGCGCGCAATATTAAACTTTTAAAAGTTCACCTCGCATTTGTCGTGTAAACCACAACATTCTATATATGTTTTCACGAAAACAATCTGAAAAAATATTAACTTTATAGGATGTCTTAACAAGCTTAGTCATTTCATTCTGTTTTGCTGAGAAAAACTAAGTAAGTTAAAGTAGTGTGTGTCGTACACGTGTGCATTCCTAAAGCAAAACATTCTCTAGGAACAAAAACCAATCGTGATTTTTAATAATACAGTTTAACAATCAAGTTTTAATTCCTGTAGCGAGTGCACAAAATTCGCGCGTGTAAAGGTCTACACGATTTATGCACCTTTTAGGTAAGCATCTGCGTGAAGTCTTTACACATCAACTATGGATATCCTGAAATATTTCCTAGGTGACAAGAAATGATGTTAAGTCCAAACCATCTACTTTTATTCCAAAAGATGCCTAAGTTATACCTTGTTTCGCAAAACATAATAACAGAATCTTTTTGGTCCAATTTGTCAACAGCGTGGGTGGGCTCCTTGGGTTATGGATTCCTCTTCGTCATTGGACCCATCACTACGGCCCTCTGTGAACATTTTGGATGCCGCGTCATGGCGTGCGCTGGAAGCGTCTTGACTACCTTTTCTTTACTGGTGACCTCATTTGCATCGAATATCTCCACCATGTACTTTACATTTGGCGTTTTGTGGGGAACTGGGGGCAGCTTCTTGTTCTTTTCTGGGCTGCTCGTCCTAAGGTTTTACTTTAATAGGAACGTTTCTCTTGCTAATGGGATTACCATGACCGGCGCCGGATTTGGAACGCTTATCTTCAACGTGATGTTGCAGGAACTTGACGAAAAGTACGGCTGGCGCGGGGGAATGCGTGTATTGAGCGTATTTTCCGCCTTGACGTTCTTGTGCGGGTGCGCTTATATCCCACCGCCAGTCGAGTATTTGCCATTCGAAAGACGAAGTCTGTCATTCCGGTTGAAAGGTCTTATTGATCCTCGGCCATGGAGAGACCGAGCTTTTCCCATGTGGTTGGTGTCATTGTCCTTTATTCTGTTCGCCTACTTCTTTCCATACACGTACTTGGTGAGTAAAGTTCATCAATTGCACAGAACAGTAAAATTTTCAGAAACTGGTAAAGAGATTTATCAGTTACCGCAGCTAATTGTAGCCAATCTGCACTGGTTACCCAAACGATCGTCCGGATGTATAGTTACATCGATATTTTCTTGTTTTTATCGTAGGTCCGGATGGCTTTGTCACATGGTATCCCTGTCTCCCAAGGGGCTCTTTTGCTAGGCTACCTCTCAATATCAGCAATATTTGGTAAACTCCTATGCGGCCGTCTTGCGGATCTCCCGCGCGTCAGACGGTTGTATATTTTTGTCATTTCCGCCACCGTTTTGAGTGTGTCCTCTATGTGTGTCACCGCTGCACGGAGTTATCACGGTTTGCTCGCGTACGCACTGGTTGCTGGATTCTTTGATGGATGTTTTGTAGTGACGGTTCCACTTATCACCCAGGACATTGTTGGAAAGGAACTAATGGCCAAAGCACTTGGCATCCAGTACGGCTTGGTGGCATTTCCTTTAACCCTGGGACCTCCCGTTTTAGGTGAGACTACGTGCTTCAGGCACATCGTTATTACTTGGTCGACTCTTTCAAACAACCGCGCACTAATTGTTTTTTTGGAACGATCAAATGATATCATTTATCTTAAAAATATGTAAAATGTGTTATGTGTTTTTCTTCTCGTTATTTCAGCCCGATCCTAGGCCCCACTACTCTTGGAATTTTTCAATCCACATCATTAAAAATTAATTGTGCCAATCTATGGGAAAACTTTCCAATTGCCACATGTGTGTGCTTGTTCTTTTACCTACATGAGGAGATCACCATAACTGATATGCGTCCTGGGAAAGAAAACTCTGAGTAAGATTCCGTTGTTAGGAACCATGGTGAAAAACTCTTTCTCTAAACATCCCTTGTTTACTCGCATTTTAAATTTACAGGAGAACTTTACAAGTCCACGGATTCCTTTACAACCGCATTCTTTGTTTCATCTTGTTCTGTTCTCGTTGGTGTAAGCCTGATCTATTTTGTTCAGAAGCTTCGTCCAGATTTGACACACAAGGAGGAACACGGAAGAAGAGAAGTGTACGATCCATCGCTTAGCATTCATTCTGCGAGTGTGGTGGACACTCTGAGTGGGATGTTTGTTACCGAGCCTGGTGTGTCACTCTCTAACCTTGATCCTGTAGAAATACATTCGTACCAAAGATTCGATGGTTTCCGCCGAGAAGATTCAATAGCGACTTTTTTAGAGCCTTTTCAAGGACAGATGGCAAGTAAGACAGAGATGGAAAATGTGTATCGAAGAGCTGTCGACAATTTATCGAGCACAGGTGGAGTGACGGCCCACCAACGAAACAGATCAGACATAAGTGGTATCTCAAAAATAACCTTGTCTTCTCAATCACGAACAGGCAATGTGGTATCTGGTTCCATGCTATCATTTTCAGAAATGCCAAGGAATCTTGGTTCAACTTCGGGTTCACAAGTTCCTGTGGGAGAAACAAATGATTTAGCAGAGCCAAGTGAGTCCATTACTAATCTAGTAAATGCAAATGTCGTAAAGCCAAATCCTGAGGAAGCTGGAATTCAAAGACCAGATGACGACTTGATGATGAGAGAGGGCGATGACCTGGAAAACCTCTCGGTGGCTTCCGATAAGCATGACGCTACAGTTGACCCAACTAGTAACATGCAGATTGGTTTGGAAGCTGGGGACCTTGAGAGGCCTCTCAGTGATGTCACCAATGTTTCTCTGAGTATTCAACCCATGCAAGTGGAGCTCGAAAATGTGGGGGGAATTCAACCAGATGCATCGATTTCTAATGATGTGAGCGCAGAGATTGATGTGGAATTAGTTAAGCTTCCTCCCCCTCCAGAAAGCAATCGCAAAAGGAGAATTGGCCTCGTGGACTCTCTAACAGACGAGCATCATGATACTGACAACATTTCGAGCGTGGTTGATGATGATATTGAGATTGTGTTCGTACCAAATATCGAAGGAACAGTTGGTGACGGAGTAGCATCAGAGTATGTTAAAGTGTGTACAAGGACTCCCTTAGAAGGCAACAGTTCAACTGAGTCGGAGGGTGGTAGAGAGGTGTTCCAACTTGTTCGTATCCCGCCACCCCCTACAATTCCACGCACAGGACAGCTACTGGTTCTGGAAACTGAGGCAAACGAGGTCGGAAGAAATGCTGCAATTTCTGACATAAAATCAGATACCGATGATCCTGTACTCTTTGTAGAAGAAGTAATCAAAGATGTTTCTCCCAAAGACTCACCCCCTGCTCAAAGAAAAGAAAAATTACATCTTGCCATTATTGATCAGCTTAACGAGTTAAGTGAGCGCCTTGAAGCTGTTGCCGCTCGCCAAACTCAGCAAGAAGAAAATGGGGATGATGATCAACCCGACCAAAGGCCTGTTTTCTCTCCAGCTCTTCAGAGTTTGCCGTTAACACCTCTCTATTCTGCAAGTCACAGCGTACCACTTACACCGGTTCGTGCGTGGTCAAGCTCTCGCAACACTCCTGCGCCAACTCCGCATCCAACACCTCCAAGTGCCTTTCTGACAACAGCACCGACACCTATCCACACACCACGTACGCCAGCCCAGAGCTTTTCAGAAATCTGTGCACCAAATGATGTATCTGTAGCGAATCCATCGAGCTCAAAAATCTGCGAGACGAGGCAAGCTAGGGAACACGATTTAGATAGCTGGAAAGACATCAATGAAATTTTTAGCCCTACACCTTCTCGAGAATATTCTAGCAGAAATCGCAGCAGATCTTCTTCCTTCTCTGAAGTAGGACAAGAAATTGTCCTTAACGAATTGAGTCTTATGAATATGCGTGAGTCCACGGAAGCTTTCTCCTCCAAACTTTCAAGCGGGACCAACTCTTCTATTTCGAATAGCGCTAGATCATTAAGTGACTTACACAATGTTAGTGAACCTATTGATGTGGTTGTTGGTGTTATGACAAATGAAGGTCAGCTAGGTCACACAAACTCTCCTGTGGATATAATAGTTGGCCACCCAGGACCATCACCTATTTGTGAACCAAAAATTCCGTATTTGCATTTCCAAGGAACGGATGCCTCCAGGCAAAGTCAATGTCATCATCATTTCCATATAACGAGGCTTCAAACCACCCAAGCAGACGACCCTTGTCGAACGTCAGCTACGAATTACCCTCCATCTTCGGAAGAAGTGGTGCCAAAAGAAGAGAATCTCTACCAGGATGTGGTTACACAGGAAGCTGACCAGCACTTTGACAAGATGGATCCAAACTTAAACCAACAAAATCCAGTGAGCACAACAGAAATACAACCAGGAAAAGAGCATAATTACTGTCAGCCTGAATCAGTAAAAATTCAACAACCAGAGGCATTTTCCGATCCCGCAAACCCAGCCGAATTGCAGGAACTATCAGAATCTGTAACAGAATCCGGTGAAGTGCAAATATCTGGCGTTCTTACTGATCAAAGTTCAGTGGAAAAACTTACAAACTCATTCTTGACTGCAGAAAACTTATTCTTGGAAACAGATAAAATAGCGTACACGAAGATTTCCGAAAACAACCCATTTCAGCCATCTCCTGAAGGTATTCCAGTAGAGTCGCAAAATCTACTTCAGCTTCATGATGAATCTCTAGCACAAAAAGAACAGGTCCTTCCTTCCTGGCAGCAAACAGAAACGCTCATTGACCGAGAGCAGTTTAAAGCCGAAGAACCGGACACGATTTCATCGGAAAGAAGGAATTTATCACACATCTCGCCCACATCAGATAATTCTCCCCGACAGGTTGAGCAGCCCTATTGTAAAGAAACTTTGGTCGCTCCTGACGAAGGCCCTCATCAACAGAACATTGTGACATCTCATCCGAAGGAGGAGGCTACAGAAACTGATCTCGCAGGACATACTTCGCTCACCTCAGGAAATATAACGGATACATACCAACATTTGACTGTTCAGAGCAAGTGGACAAAATTCAATTCAAGCCAAGAGTGCTTAATTTTTGAGATGGACACTGAAAGTGAATCGTCCTCCGAAGGCAGTTCGAAGTTTGAAAATACCTCGACCAAGATTTCCCCAGATGCGAAGAATAAAACTCAGGATTCCAAAACTAATGATCAAGAGAATCTATTTCCTCCTCTTCAGATTTTTTCCGACGCAGTCGACATTATCACTGCAGCCAAAGACCAAGGTTTTCCTCTAAAACTTCCTCCACCACCCAAGCAAGTCCATAGAAAGCGAACAGACACCACCATCTTGACCAATAAGGAGAATACTTGCCCACTTGGGGTTGATGTCAGAGAATATGTGGGGAAGGACACATTTACAGCAGATGTTAAGAATATTGACCAGGGAGACGGTGTACAGCCTGAAGTAATGATAGATAATAGACATGAAAGAGACATCGAGGAGTGCTTTAATAATGAACGTCAGGGTGTGGAAGCCAACCCGGTCCTAAGTGGGGCGGATTTGTCAGCGACTGGAAATTCTGTCAGCGAGATTGAATCCGATTTGTTAACTGAATCTAAGCTTGAAGACTTAACGAGTAAACAGAGTGGCAATTCAATATCTGGTATAATCTGTCGAGAATTTGAGCTGATTCAGGATGAGGACGGAGAATGTAAATGCGAAGATGACTACGATTCTAATGCAGATGAAGACCTGGCTAAAGCTTCGGTCCATGATGACATCGCGCCTCTTTTGGTGAAAAACGATGGACAGATCCAATATGTGAATCTACGCGATCTTCCTCAAGATTCCCAAGTTCTTCAGAAACGCCCTTCCACTGATTCATCAACAGATGATTCCAGCACTTCAACAGATTCGAGCTCGAATCTGTCGGAGAATGAACTGCCTTACAACAAATTGCACGAAGATAGCTACACATCGGACCAAGGATAGAGATAAATAGTCGCCGTACGTACTCATTGCAGAGCTGTAACGGTTAGCGTAAACAGTGAAAATCAGATGTTAAAATCAGCTTGAAAGAGAAGACAAATAGTTTATATAAGGAAAGCTAAGAAGGAAAGGGGATGATCTGAGGCAAGCAATAAACGAGTGACACAATTTGCCAATTTAAAGTACGCATCCTTCCCCACGGCTAAAAATGAGAGCAGTGCGTACGAAAATATTTGTCATATATCTCCTGCCTCATAGACATTTTTCAGGGGACTGTTTATTAGTTAACCGGAAAATAAACTGAAATATAAGTCAGCTGATGAGCATACTTGAAAGAGATAATACCATGCGAAGGTTCATATGCCTATTTAATTTAATTCCGAACTAGCTATTCAAGGAGATGTATTTGATACACACCTTAGGCGCAAGGTAAACTTTGCAGGCGACCATCATCGATTTAACCTCAACACATCGCGTAGAGTTATTTTATTGTCTTTAGTTCCGGATTCAACCACCTCCCATATTTAGATTAAAAACGCTTTTACTTCTCTACATAAAATGAGATGCACGCCCCTTAATTTATGGCAAAGTTCATTAATATTTTGACAATTATCCTTAAAGAAAAAACCCACATGATATCCCTCAAACCAGCAAGGTTAAGTATAACTTAAATCATTTTCAGTAAATCGATTAATTAATAAATTAAGAATTGGAACTTTTTGGAGACAACGACATCATTGTTATTTTGCTAAGATTCCACCAACCATCCCTAAGATGTCCTTTTTGAACGAATTCAAATCGATAAAACCAACAAAATAATGAATAAAAAACTTACAATTCACAGAGGAACGATCTCGATACATATAAAATTAATAAATATTAAAATAAAAATTCGTAAAAATTCGCAATTAATACAAAGTATTGAAACTTTGAGTCACCAAAACATTGAAATGTGCTGACTTACCAGTGCCTAAAAATGGCTGACAAGTCAGATATTCTTTGCAATTCTTGAATGGAAAACGTTTCTTAGAAACCAATAAATATTCGATGTTATTTTGATAACAAATAATTCCTTCTGAGTCAGAAGTTGCCCCAGTACAACACTGTGTATCACTAGGATCATTAAAACGTTTTTATGTACCCTCTAGTCATAAAATTAATTTTGAAATTGTTGGATAACGGTAAACGCTAGTCCATAATGACGAACCACCCTTTTTCCCAATATGGTAATCTTTTATGAGTCTCTCTCAGACAGTACGTCCTAACACTCTGTCGAGTCCGATCTTTGTTCTTCATCGAGATAAGACTGCCTGTGGGAGAGGAGAGCGGGCTCGTTTCCGACTTAGCGGTTGTTAACAATCGCTCTGACGAAGGGCCAACGCTCGAAACGTCAGCTTTTAAACTACGTAATTTGATCGGAAAGCAGTCCTAATGAATAACATAATTCGCTTCATCGATCAACTGTTATGGCCAGCCATTTTAACCAATAATAAGTACCTTTAACATAATGATAAAAAAGTCCTAATCAAATAGTTTGAAAGGTAATTTTATAAAATCGTTTCTCGACAAAGATCTAACTTGCACCCAAATTCTGACTGGGAAAAATTGGGTATTATTTTCATCTCTGCGTCAGCCTTGGAAGCGTTTTCATCGCTTGAATAATCTTCAAATGGAGTTCTTGGATTAGTTTCTACTCGTTCCAACAAGGATTCAAACATAACACTATACAAATCCATAGCACCTCCAACCCAGCCCTCTTGTTGAAGTTTCTCTTGTTGAACAAAAACCTCCATATTGTCAAAACTCATAGCCGGTGTTACCAAGGTTATAGACCCATGTTCGTTTTCCAGTGACTTATCTACGACTTCACTGTACTGAGTGCAAGAGCTTTGTCTATTGAAGTCACTCTCATAACCCGATGAACCATTCAGAGAGTCAGTGCAATGTAATTGGGCAGCGGCAGACCATGCGCGGAACATTGCTGACTTAATCAAAGGTGGCGTATCAATCTCTCTTAACGTTCCCATAGAAACACTATGCTGTAGCACGTGATCGCAGCGAGTTTGTGCGAAGAAAGCAACCTCTATTGGAAAGCTGTAAATTGCTCTGGGCTTCTGCTTGTAGTTAGTTGATTGTTTCTTGGCATCGTCGCTTAAAAGAACCACTCTTTCTTCGCATACTTCTATTTTTTCCGGCATCAAACGAGGCACAAGGAACAACAGACAAACCCCAAACGTCATGAAGGCTCCAGAAAGGAAGAACGCAATGTCATATTTTCCGAAGACATCAAAGATAAAACCTGTGATGAGTGAAAAATGTGATGAAGGCGATATTTCAAAAGAAAGTGTGGGAGACTCTTTGTTAACTAGTTTTGCGTCTTTGAGAAAGGTGGGTAACCTTTTATGGACCAGCATATTCCCCCAAAGGGAAGTAGAAAGGCCCTAATCGCTCTTAATGTGCTAAAAGATCTCACTGAGGGGCCTTCTGCACAAGCGGACCAAACTAGAATTGTCCCGACCAATTCAAAGGACAAATTTTGTCATGAAGAATTTTTGTTTCGTCTGTTGCATCCGCATTTAAAATTTTAAGTCGTCAAATTCCGTCAGCGCCTGATCTGTTCATAAGAGCGGCCAGCATAGTTGCCGAAGGATTCCACCTCCAATTTACAGGACTTATCCTAGGTCGTTTTAAAATTTTAGAATCCCCGAATTTTGCAACTAAACACCATTTGTGCCTTTCTGGTAAACTGACTTCAGTTCAATTACACGCTTGTCGTAGCTTTTACGACGAATGATTGAAAAGTTTATCACGGTTTTGTTTATTTTGTCGATTTTGTCCAGTTTTTACCCGGGACAAATTTTGTCAGCGGAGCGTAATTTGAAGATTTGTCCGCTTAGTCAAATTTTGCATCTGTAAAATGTCGGTGATGACACTTTTCCGCCAGTGCGGAAAGGCCCCCAGGTATAATGCACTGTTTAAAATTGAATAACAAGTTCACCTCAAAGTTCATAATCTCTCATAAGAGAGATCCACATTGCTAGTTATGACGTCATCCTCTATGCAACTTATTTTGGGTTTGGATACGAACTCCTAATTATAGACGTGACATTCTGATATCACTTCAGTGATACTAACCTGCTACAGGAGGGCCAAGTACATTTCCAATAGCGGCCGCGAAACAAAGATTTCCAAATGCGCGCCCGGCGAGTCTTTCTCCAACAATATGCAATGTACCCATCCCAAACATAACAGCTAAACTTCCATCAAAACAACCGAAGACAACGACATATACAACTAAAGAAGAGTAAGTCTTTGCTAAAGGAAAGAGTGTGGCGTTAACAGCTAACATAAGGCCCATTATTTGAACCGATAGAATTTTGTCCATTCGAGGATTATTAACAAGCCTTCCAAACGCGATGCGAGCAGCTGTATTCGTTATGGCCTGGTAACCAATGAGTAATGCGCTTTTGGAGCTCGGTATTCCAATCTCGTTTGCAATGCTGATCTGTTGGAGCAATAAAATTAAAACATGTTTTGTTTTAGAGTTAATATGCAGTAAATTTGCTTCTAAACTCTCCTTTCACTGTTGTATTTACCAAGCGAAAACTAATATGGAATAAGCGTTGTGCAGAGCCTAAGAAAATCTTTGTTGGAACTAGGGGTAAGGTTTTCCAAGGCCTTTCGCCAGCGCAAGGGGCCGCTAGAAAACACTGTAAAAGTTTTCACAGTTGTACTTACCAAAAAGACAAATGGTATAAAGTTTCCGAACGCGATGAAGCTTAGGGAAACGGCCCATACCGCAAAGGCCTTATTTTTCCAAGGATTTAATTTAAAAAATTCCAAAATACGTAATTTAAGCTTTAGGATAGTCCCACTTATTGAATGCCTAGATGCGTTGCTCTTCTCCATTTCAAAACAATGTTCTTGCACAGTTGCAAAGCCACCGTAAGTCACACTTGAAACGCTCATCAAAAGTGACATTCCGGCGAGAATTCTCATGGTTATCCTCCAGTTATAATATCCGATAAGTTGATTGATGGCCCATGTTGTCGGCGGAACACCGAAGCCAGCCCCAGCGATAGCGATTCCATAAGCCAGTGATAAATAATTTCTAAAATGCAATGGTAAACTGACCAAAGAGGCGAAGTAACAAAGACTCGTCCCAGCTCCCCATAGAAAGCCATAAGTGAAGTACAATAAAGGGAAACTGGTTACGAATGACGTAGAAAGAAGACCAGTGAATGAGAGAAGGCCTCCAACACACGTGACCACTTGGCATCCGAAGTGCTCGCACAGCACTGTAGTCAGAGGTCCCAGGAAAAACATGAGTCCAAATGCCAATGAGCCTACCCATGCTGTAAGAAAATAGATTCATATATTAGAGGAGGCTGGTTTTCACCAGATAGTCTCTTGAAGAGATCTGGGTCAAAGTGAGCGCCATAGGCACAAGGGGAACAAAACATGTCCCTTTTTTTGGTGCTTATGCAGACGCTTTTGTCGTGGGTATTTTGATTCGCTCAACCCTCACAACCTAACATCAGTATGCATATTCTCCATACTGTTCTCTATACATTCCCTAAGATACCGACATGGAGAATTTGCCTAACAATCAAGAGCTTCTTTAGTCCGTGATCAGCTCCTTTATTCTCCTGACCTTAATGTGTGCTTAAGGGATGGTATTGTAAGGAGAAATTAGATGCTAGTCATTCTTAGGGTCTAAAGGGTTAACGTGTAAACATACTGTCTGAATATAAACTTTTACCAGCCTCGCCTGGGTATCAACAATTTCATACAGCCCGCAGAGCGGGTGCCAAATGCGTCCTTGTAATTTCCTTTATACAAAACCATAATCGACCTTTCTTTCTCTTTGCTGTTTTCATTGAACCTGAAATTCAACTTAAGACTGGCGAATATGAAGGAGGAGTGAAACTTTACCGCACAAACCTTAGAGGGAAATCTTTTTTTTTCGGTCTTCTGTTGCATAACGCCAAAAACACCGGAAATGACGGACGAGGTCCGCCCGAAGTCAAAGAAGACATTAGATTGGCATTTTCGATATTACGATGAGAGAAATTTGCACTAAGCATTCTGTGAAACTAGCTTAACCAGTTCTTTGATGACATTGAGTCGATAATATCAATGACGTAGTGAAGCAAATAGTTCGTGCTCTTGTTGAGCCTTGGTAGCTGATAAGACAAGCAAGCTAGTCACGAGATGTATGCCTGTTTGTTTTCTGGTTTTCCCTGAATAAACAAGTTATATGAACAAAGGGTCAGTTTTTGCTCACAGTCCGAGGTAACCGTAAACTATTGCCATTGGAAACTCAAGTCAATCGTTTAAAACCGACTAAACGAGATGAAATTTAGTCCTAGACTAGAAACATTTGAATATTTTCAGTGTAGCTGAAAGGAGATGATTTGATATTTGTTGATGGTTGGTCCTTATGGATTTCACATTGCGTGACTATAATGGAAGGTTAAAAAAAATACGTTAGTGAATGGGACAAATATAGCAAAACCACAAGATCGCTGATGTGACCTTTTGCTTTCCCTGAGAAAAGTCAACAAAAAAAAAAAGAAAAAAAAAAGGGAACTGCTTTGACACTGGTCCAGTTAAAACCGCCTCATGTCCATACTGATTTTAATTTTAAATGATCTGTTGCCAAGAGGCCAGAATCACATGAAGTTGCGTGCATCATTAGTGCGGTGGCTCATAGGTACCATTCTAGTAAAAAGAAAAAAGGTGGATATTGGAGTCAAAATTATAACTATAGATCCACAGTTATAACTTTTGATTCAGTGCTACCACAATGGATCCAAAGTTCGTAATAATATATAACTCTGGAACCCTAGCTATAACTTTGGATCCGCAGATGGAGCTCTTACACAGATATCCATTTTTTCTTTCATTCAGAGAAACACTCACAAGCCACCTAACAAAAAATTAAAAAAAAAAAAAAAAAAAGATATTCTCTGGGCGACTCTTGTAGACACAGAATGCGTGTCTTTACAACTAACATTTCACGCTCCTGGCCTGTCACATTCTTCAAGGTCTCTCTTAGGTGACGTAGGATCTCGTGACGAGATAAGTGTTCGTGATCTCGCCTTCTCTGATACTACTGAATTATCGAAAGCCGATCGACAAGCAAGGAATTTTAATTTTCTGATCAATGTCAAATACTCCATGTGTTGACATTGTGAACAGGGGAGGCCTTCCTGAAACTTGAACACGAGATTTTCTTCCGTTACTCTCCACTAGTGAGTGCAATAAAAAAAGACCGTCCTTAATGTTTTACAAAGATTTAGCGTCAAATAGTGGTCAAATATCCAATTGTTCTTAAATACAGATTGAATCTCCACGTCCCCAGCCCCCACCGTTTAAACACTTACTTACATCTTGTCTCCTCCCCTGCGAAATTGCTGTAGCCCCTCCGAAATGGGGAATTTAGACTTTGACGTAAATTTTTTAATCAGAAATCTGTCGAAGCAGGAAGGCAAATAACACTGATTTAATCATGTTAGTCATTCCCTGTTCTCTCAAAAGAGATCAACGTTACTTTCCGGAAACTATATAACATTACCAGTTTCCGGAAAACGTGCTTGCGTACCAAACTGGATCTCACACGAAGCAGAACATCCGTACAGTGAAAAACAACTGCGCAAAAACTGGTTTATCTGGCCCGCTGTAGCCAAAGCTCATTAACTTCTGGTTTACTGAGTAACGGTAATGAAATATTCATCGTTGAAGTAAACTTGACAAATTATTTACTGTTTTAGATGTATTCCAAAAAAAGCTACAGCCAATCACAGCGGATGTTTTGGTTTCGTATTTTGTCCTTAGCGATAACCTCTCGGTAAGAGAAGATACATGTGTTGCAATGTCATTTCATCTGGCTTACAGATACATGCCGACATTATAAATTAGATGCATAACAGGAATCAGTGATTTCTAAATTTATTAACTATACTGATAAAAAAAATTCAGAATAAAGCGGATCGAAATATTTCGTACCTGTAGCGGATTCACTCCGGTGAAATTCCCTGTCGAAGGCGATGAAAAAAATCCCCACGGAACTGTGTATCCCAAAGATAGTGAACTGCACTATGAACGAAGATGCGCAGACGAACCAGGAACGTTTAGAATCGTAGTTGAGATCCTTAAAATAATTCGTCATCTTATGTAAAGAAACATGGATGAGAAGGCTCCAAGATCCCTGCGAACTCTGTGTACGGGAAAAAATTTGCTGCGTGAAGTGAGGTTTAAGTCGTTTGATTTTCAAAATCTCTTGTTACCATTGGATTATAAACCGGTTTATTGAGAAGCTGGTGATAGGTTGGATTTCTATTGATGAGCAATTAGCGCAACCACAACAGGTACTACCTGCAAGTGAACTATGAACTATGTTCACCCAGAGCACGTGAAAAGAAATATTGCTGATTTATATGAAAATATTCTGGCGCATACGTTAATAAATAGATGCTAATTGATGGACGGTTAGCTCTGTACCCTACTGCTTCCCAGACTGTCTGACAATCAAAACCTCAGCGTGTGGTTGGTGGTTTTCGCGCAACTCACGTAATTTAAACATAGTGAAATTAATGGCTTGTCAAATCAGAGAAACTTTCCTGCTTTTAAAAACAGCAAGATAATTTGAGATACTTAAAACTCAAGGCATTCAGGTTAAAATTAGATTAGTGAATACGCCGGATACGAGTCTACCCCCGGAGATGCGGACTAACAGCTAGATGTCAGGAAGTTTGAGATATCCGGAACTCCCCTTCGGTTTGATGAGATGGTTCTGGCACACCCTTCTCTCTAAGTGCACTAGAGGCGAAAGGGAAGGAGAGAGGAAGGCACCTCTGCTTGGCCACCCAACTGAGGATGTCCCCCCGCCCCAGAAGTGCTCAGGATTGCCCTTTTTGTTCCCTTAAAAAGTACGAAACAACAAAAACAACTTGACCAGCCATTTAGTATTTACCTTGACCTCAACTAGGTTAATAACCCATATCTAGTGTCTATATCTGTACCAAAAGAAGTGCCGGAATGATCAGCTTGTTTTTGCTACCTCCTTTCTAATCATAAAGCCAAGAGCTGTTTACGAGGCTGTTAACGAACGGAGATGCCAGATATAGAGTAAGGAAAGCCTTTGTGTAAACCGATAAACACGGACGGTGGGTGCGAACTTTGAAAAACGTGACCTGTCAGCTTGAGTCTATTAGAGATGTGTACTTTCTCGTAGCTTAAAACCACGTGAGGTTGGGGAGGGGTCGGTAATATGAGAAAGAGGCTGTCAGCGGTTTGCTTTTAGTCTAAATAAAATCCCAAGCTAGCGTCAACTTGCTCCAGTTTTGTACTTTACAAGTTTTTTTTTGCGTAGCTCTGTGCGAGAGTTAACAACTCTTTAAAGTAGAAAATTCAATTTTTAGTTTCTAGCTAAATTTTGTTGCAAGAGCGTACGAAAGTCAGCTGAATGGACCATGTCTGTTCTACAAAATGCATTCTTGGAAAACGGAAAGGTCACAATGAAATATATGGATAAGGCGAAAAAAACAAATGGGAACAAGGATAGTTGAAAATAAAAAAGATTGACCCGGATTGCAAACAGCACATTAGGACTGGAAAATTTACGCTAATTTCCCAAAATTGTGAAAACTGTGACGAAAGCGCAAATTAAAGCGTCGATGCCGAGTGAACATAAACCCTGTGGTGAAAGGTGCTTTCAGTAAAAACTTACCGCAAGATATGTGATCTCCCGTCAACAAGAACAAAACTGAGGCAGTTATCGGACTCACCGCTGAAACCAACCGATCAATCTCTATTGTTTAATATTTGCGAACAATGCTTTCTTTTATAGATACCCAAACTAGGTTCTGATACACGGAAAAACACTGAAGGACATGAGAGTTCGTGCCTTATATCCGTTCTTTCACGCCCTCTTAAAATATTCTGAGAGATTTAGGGAAGGGTCAGGATTTATCGCCTGTGGAAGGGGGGGAGGGGCCAGGTCTCTGTAATATTCTTACGGATGCCCCTCATCGGTATTTAGTTGGCAGTAAATTGTCTATAGTCTCCACTTTTATACTCTGTTGGTGACAGCTGACCCCCCTGAAACCATGCGTTCCCCCCAAAAATCCTCCTACCACCCCCCGACGATAAATTATGAGAAGAGCTTCCCCCCTTCCACAAGACTGTTCAGTTGAAAGAATCACATGAACGGAATGAGTCCAGAGAGCGTGATGTGACGGTCTTGAGGTCATCATCTTATCTTCACGAATTGGTCTCTCTTAACGCGTGACGCGATTAATTAGAGCAGCTTCCAAATTGTTAATTAAAGCTTTTGCTTCCTTTCTCGGCTTAAACTCAGAGAGGTTCGAGTAAAGCCTTCTCCTTGAGCCTCAGCCTGTAACCTACCGGTAACCTGAAAAACAGGTGACCCTTTTGTCGCGTTTTCCGGGCGCGAGCGGAAGCAAGCGACGTGATAAGCGCTCCTTCTCTGGCGCGTGACTTTCCCATTGTATTTTCCTTGAACGAAGCTTTGCTTCCCTAAAAACGCAAAATATCCTCAGCTGTTCTTCGGACTAAATCGGTTACTAGACAGGTCTCAGTATAACTGGTAATCACAGGAGATTATAGAAAAGTGTTCTGTTGGTGTTTATGCTTCTTGTGGAGGCTCGTTCTCCAAACACTAAGTAACGCACCACTACACAAGCTGTCAAGCGACACACAGTCGAGAAAGGCCTGAAAACGAATTAACCCAGTAACTCTAAATCGTGTAAATTTGTTCAAAAACGGGGCAAGGCGAGATAAGTCTAGGTACTCACGTGAATTTAGCTAATATCGTGTCGAACCCTACGAGAATTTCAGGCAGTATCTCTCGAGAATCCCCGCAAGATTCTGGTGGGATCCTCGCAAAAACCCGGGCGGGATGACGGGCGGATATAAGTTAAGATGCCCGGGGGATCCTAGTGGCAATCACTGCGAGATCCTCGAGAAATCTTAATAAGAGCGCTGCTGGGAATCTTGGTGGGAATCACGGCTAGATCCCGGAAGGATCCCGCGCAGTGCTTCAAAAAAATCATTGGCCGTATCAATTTTCCCAGACTCACGCTGCATCCAAATTTGAAATGCGTCAAATTTTAGGTTGTCCCTTGTAAAACTTTGCTTCTCGCATTTATTTTGAAGCAATGCACTGGTCACTAATCATGGTGCGTCAGTTGTTTTCGAGGACTCAAAGTTCGCCTTGGACCCATAATTTATATTAAACGTGTGACACGTCCTAAAAGCTCCGGCAGACTAAGCACACGGCCACATCATAACCTGAGATTATAGCCGCTAATATCTCACCGCCTTTCTCACTGGAAACACAAACGAAAAAAAAAAAGCAAGTTATCATAGTTCGATAACGGCAAGGATTTCAATAACAGCTGTATACCTGCCTAAATCTTGATGCAAACTAACGCAGTCACAAAACGTATTGCGCTGTTTTTCTTGCTCCGCTACGCTTGCTGTTGACTGCTTAGTATCAGAAAGTTGTGGTACACAGACGCTCCATTGGTCCTTTCTGCACCGAAAAAAAAAACACTCGCATCTCTTCTTCGATTTGATCTTATGCAAATTTTTGGCAAAAATTGCAATTAGGAACTTATAAACGAAAAAAAAAACACAACTTTACCGAGTCTGTGCCGGGTGATTGGTCTCCCTGTGGGTTAGCCTTATCGCTCCACACGGAATGTCAACTTTTTTTTCGATGTCACTCTTTTAGGTCAGGAGATGATCCAAAATTGATTTTTGTTACCGTATTTTTATCGTAGAGGTGTCCGATGTTTTACATAAATGAACTCAATTATTTGGTTTATCTGGTATCGTAGAGAGGATAATAAAATACTTAGTAGCAGGGGGCTCCCTCAGAATGTAACTCGCCAAATGTTTGCCTCTATGGAGTTATTAATACTTTGCACGTTGGCGAAGAAATTCCTCCTTAAATGTCTTGATATCAATGTATTTATCGTTTTACAGACGCAACTCACCGAATTGAAAATGATTCAGCTTCCAGTACACCTTCAGAGTTTTAACGAGCTGGCTGGCCTGCGTAATTGTGACGCAGTCTGATGATAAGTTATAATTTCCAGTTAGGCGACATCTGTGAAGAAGGATCAACTTAAAACTCGAGTTTCTATTACATTTTTTTTTGCCCTCAGCAGAATTTTCATGAGCTATTGTTTCTAAAAACACACACAATGCAAAATTTCGTGAATATATTAATTCCGTATTCTATTTGTTTACATATGAGCAAACAAAAGACAAAAAGTACCTTTTTAATTTACTTTCACACGGTGGATTGTCACACAAGCTAGCGTACAGAATCAAAATGTAAACCCCTTTTCTGATGCTTACCATCCATTAATGTCCAAATCCCATCTCCATGATATACTTGTGAATCACCCGCATCAATATTAGTTGTTACATTTTCCTGCGCGAAAAACTGCGTAGAAACTTTATGCGGGCTACACGCATAAGTTCTTGTGTCCTTGCGTGAAGTTCGCCAAAAATGGTAGCGAAGATTGTTTCCGCCGAAAAACAGATTGGTTTCTCAAACTCAAAGGACAAAGATCCATCAACTATACGATGAACGACTTGGAAAACAAAATTATGGTATTAATCGTTATAGCGGCCACTTACCAGGATTTTCAGCTAGTCGAGGTTAAAACGCAACAAAGTTTTGTCACGCATGAAATATCACGTCTTACTACTTAAAAAAAGTCTAGCAATTTTTTTTTTCGCTTACCGCAATAGTTGGGGTGATTAATGCACTGCACAGTTCGGGCTCCCTAAAATCTCAAAGGAGGAGACTGATTTTAAAATGTGTCCAGTATCTTTACATGCTGTAACCACAGGCGCAGGTGGTTCCATGCAACTTCAAAATATTGTACATTTCTGCGCGATGACCACTTTCCTTAAATTTAATTTTCTCTCCAACATACTGGGAGAAGAGCTCTTGTGATTTTTCCGGCATATCTTGATTTTGATTAACTTTTGGACACTAGGTGGGTGATCAATTTTAATGAAGGAGAAAAAAAAATGAAAATGAAGTTAAAAAGTAGATAACAACTCTTAAGCTTGTTGTTGCTATTTTTTGCAATTTGTACATCTTGCCACCGTTCTAATCATCATTATCATTTCAAAGATAAGTGAAAGAGTGAGTATCACGGAACTGCAGTGCGGTTTACTCATGCGCATCAGCTACTCTGATAATTTGATCTTGATTATTAGAACTAAAGAAATTGATTCAAGCTTCTTTAATATTCAAAATTCTTCACCCTTTCCTTTCGTAATTTTAATTGTACATATAGCGAGCTCAAAACATCAATTAAAAGCATCAGATTCCGAAATTCCAAGAGAGGGCGGATGAAAATAATTTTTTTTACAAACAAGTTGTAAATTCATTGTCTCTGAAACAGAAAATTAAACTGGCTATGAAATTATGAAGTATCATAGATTGAAAGCCACTTTGACATATGGCTCGGTAAATAAACCACAGATTAAAATATGTTAAGGCACGTGAAGCCTTATTGTGATATGATGTTCCGAATATTGTTCTCTCTTATTTTTAGATAATTTTTAGGGTAATTCATGGTTAGCCCGATCACTAAAGGACTACATAGAAACCAGTAACGCAACGCCAGTCGCGACGTAACGCCACAAACCTGTCACAAACTGGGAAGAAGCTCACTAAGCATGACGGGACCTTATTTATGGCACATGGACTCGGACAACAACATGCCGGGTGTGAACGGAGAAATCAAGAAAGATGGCCTTGAAACTGAAGAGGAAAAGCGAGATCTTGGTTCAAAACCGAAGAAATTGGAAGAGAAAAGCTCTAAGACTCGAAAAACGTCTGAGGTTTCAGTATTAGATGCGGAACGACAGTGTTTAGTGCAACGACCATCCGATCAGCAATGGCGTACGTTCGAAAAATTTTGCTGACTCACTTTCGTTCTTTCTCGTAGCTTCGGTCCGTTGTTTGTTAATTTTTTCACTTTTATTAATAGATCCTGCTGAAATCATACACATAAGACCGGTAGATGAGGGAAAATCGGAGTATTACGTTCATTATCATGGATGTAAGTTACTTTATTTCGCTTTCTGTTGATATATTGCAAAGCTTTTCATTTTTGTGAGAAAGGCTCCTAAAAAAAATCTCACAACATAGTTAAGATAATCGACGACCTTTGTGATGTTTTATCTGGGCGGTGGGTTTGTATTCCCCCCTAAAAGTGATAGATGTCACTGTTACTATTAACAATATGACGTTTTTATTCCCAGAATGTGACGTCGCTGAGAACGTGACGTCATTAAAATCTGCTTTTTTTTTTATTTGGACCTAGGTTATATATTTAAACGTGTTACTTTACACAGAGGACTTATTTTCCCATATTTTTGTGATCACAGTTATCAAACCAAATTAATTTTATTTTTCTGTATTCTTTAGTTGACTTTAGAGGCAGTTGTAATTTGAATGGAATCAGTCTTAAACCTGGTCTATCCAAGTTTCTAAAAATTTCCAGATAAAAACAAAAATTTCATTTTCTATAAGCTCAAGTCTTGTTTTAGTAAAGGGAAGAGTAAATGTGAACTTGTGAATGACATTTTTAGCAAATTGCATCAGACTGTTCAACAAAAATATAGTTGCAAGTTATCGACATACAGTGTTCAAAAAATGGTCCCTGTCATTGAAGTCAACAGACGCCTGGATGAGTGGGTCCCAATGGAAAGAGTTGATCTTCAACAGAAAGACGTCCACATGCATGTTCCAATTGTAGAGGA